CGAGACATTTATATAGAGAGCGATATCCGAAAGCATCTAAATTTCATGGATAGCTGTCGAACACATTTTTTGCTTAATATACAAATTAAGTAATGCATTGGTAATACAAGTATTTGTAAAGTTCTTTATAGTTACTTCTAACATAAAACCGCCTTAGAATATTACTATTCTATGTTAATATTCGCATGTCGCTGAATTAAATGCAAACTAATTACATAACAATTGGAATTAAGTATTTGTTGAGTTTACCCTAATTCTATGCTAAAATCACAAAGTTTTCCATTGGAAAGCGTCATGGTCACAAGGGTTAATGACATGAATGGTGAGTGACATCATAAGCATGCCAGGTATAAATGACATGGATATTGAAATTCAAATCACATTGATATGCATTCTCACATAATTCTTATATGTGCATATATATTCAGAGTGATATCAGCCGAATTCAAAGCCCAACACGTCATCCAGGCCATAGTCGAAGATACGAAAGTCGTCCTCATAGATCTCATATAGACGACGTATGGCGCCAATTGGCAGAGGATCAAAGTACTTTCTAAGGTTCGCACGCGTGGTGGACGGCTTGTGGCCAGTGGGGAATGTCAAGTTCTTGGCACCAGCCAGGTAGAGCGCCAAAGCGGAGTCATCCAGCAAAGTGTCGTATTTGCCTGCAGGATAAATACGATAGATTCATTAGTAATGGGACAGATTTGTGTACTCCAGCTTGCCACTCACCCACAACATTGTACTTCATGACACAGGGATTACACAGCTTGGCAATGACCTCCCAGTGCTCGTTGTAATCCGTCTGATTGGTACGACTCAGCTCCGGCGTCAGCAGATACTGCACAAACTCGCCAAACTGAACATCGTTGCCCAGCTCCAGGGACGCGTTGCTAGCGCCCGGTCGCAGCTCATGCACAATCTGTCGGCCCACACGCGACTGAAAGTACTTGGCACTGGGCGAATCTCCTTCCAGCTTATTGCGATATGCCGAGAGCAGCCGCTCGAATGGATGTCGCACCAGAAGAAAGCGTGTGTACTCCTCGCTGAACACCTGCGCGCGCTCCTCCTCACTGAGCTCAGAGAACTTGGTAAACATGCCAACCGAATGGGCCAGCGCACCAGGTATCATCAACGGATCCGTGCCATTCTGCCATTTGCCCGTCAAGAGCATCAGCACCCGCTTCCAATTCGTGCAGGCCACCTGAGGGTGAGGGAGAACGAGGCAAATAAAGCATTTTTCTTGTTTAGTCTTAAATAAATAAACATTTATATGAATGAGGCCACAAACGGAATATATATTTTGTTTTTCCTATAGAACATATTTACCAAAATCTTAAATGTTTGTCGGTCAGTGATGCAGAATTTTCTTGTTATACTTATTTAAACTGATTTCTATTGAAATTAGGGCCCATTTGGCCCACATATTTTTGTTTTCCGGTATTATTGTAGCTATTCCTTTTTGTACAGTTAAAACTAAAGTCAAAAATTCTTTAAATTTCTAAATACATACACTTATAAAACAAATCTTTATATGATCATTTAAGATGATTTCGTTTAACTAACCAACTAAAAACTTTTTATAGCCTCTTGGAAACCAGAAATATTTCCTTAGTTTTCCCTATACCTGTTACGTTATGTGTGCATGAAATTTATCATAACTAAGAAATGGGCATAATTATAGCTATAAAGTACATATATGTAGATATGATTATAAGACCTCTTTTGAAATTGGAATTTGAGCCGACTGTGCAAAATGACTTCAACTTCAATTGTAGAAAGTAAATAAGCAGCGAACAAAGTGCAAAGGCTTTGTGAAATGATAATCATAACAACGAAAGTTCAAAGCGTGTGTATATTGAATGAGATTTATATATGTACGTGAGTTCAGACTTTCCTCTTAACTGCCAATGCTTATAAATCGTAATTTAGCTAGAGAAAAATGTGGTTTAATTGATGCATGTAAATTTTCTTAATTACGCTGAGGGACGGCCACTTAGCGAATCAACTAACTATAACTACACAACAAAAAACAACAACAAGAACATCAACAATTGCAGCAACCAGCTATTTGAACTAAACATATAAACAATCCGCTTAGGCAATGTCGGGAGTAATTAAATTCTACTAAAACAACAACAATTTCAAATCACAAAAACAAACAAATTTTTCATATACAGAGTGAGAACATTGCAATCGAGTGCAATCAAATATATAATACTCGTTCATAGTTTAAGAATAGTCAATTTTATGGAATAATATTTATATAGATATTTCAAAATAAAATAGGACGAGTCCTATGCAGGTTTGTTTATTTATTTAAATATTTAGCAGCATGCGTACTCTAGATCAATGGCTAATTGTCAGTCAAGACTGAGAAACTCATCAATCATTGATAGTTAAACAAATCAGTGTATAAATATTTCCGATACAAATTGACAGACAAACAATTGACAGCGCACCACTGTGCGTGCCGCAAATGGCAGCAGCTAAATTGCGGCTGGGGTTCATGTTCAGCGTTTTTCATGTGCAATATGCAAATTTAAAAAAAAAATAATAATAATTGTATATATACATACATATATAAAATATTTGCTATTCGTAAGCGATTAAAAACTATAATTTTTCACAATTTTCTTGAGTTATAAAACAGGCAACAACCACAACACGCAATGGTCGAATAAAAACTATGAGGCCAGGCAGATTTAAGAGCAAATGGAACGAGGCCAAGCAAGCGCTAAAACTAGATGTGTTATATGCAATTCGCTTCAAGCTTAGCCTCTGCCTACGCTGGAGTCTATTGATAACTGATAACAGCTGATAAAAAAAATTGTGCGCGAGAGTGCCAACGAGCACGAGCTACGCCCACTTTTGCCGTCGATGCGATAATCAATGCGATATGGCGCCATTATCTCTATAATCTGAAGTCTTTTCCAATATAGCTTCCACTCGTAAAGTTAGTAACTCACGCAACTCTAAATAGCAATCAACTAATTAGTGTCCGAGTTGTCAGTCAGACTATCTACTCAATTTATGATTATGATAATTTTATATAATCATAAACTAATTATCATAAACTAAACTACATTAATATACTATTTATACATATAAATAAAATTGTTTATTATATTTATATATCTAAGAATGTTTCTAGATGTTCGAGATCTGCATAAATCAGCATTTACTTTAAACCCATAAAACCTATTATAAATATTGACATTTTATTTTAATAAAAATTATAAATGTGCAAATATATAGGCGAAAAATTATCCAATTTTAAATAAACAATAGGTCAGTCTTTAATATATATTTAAAGTATCAAGTTTCTAGCTAATACAATTACTGTAATTGAAACATTCTACCTAAATATGGCTCAATCGGCAGGCATTCGCAGGCTGTTAATACAGCCAATTAGTAAAACATTTACTTATGTTTATTTATAGTCCATAAAATTTATAGTGTAAACAAAAGAGGTTACAGTGTTGTGGCTCATAAGTGGCGCCACCACCAAATGGCATACGTCATGGCCGGCATTACTCAACCGTTGACAGGCAAGCGCAATTTGGGCGATATTCCACAGCAAAATAAAGCTCATTATGTTGTGGGAAGGTTCAAAGTGCGGTGGACATATGAAACAACGTCGCTATTTATATGCCACACCTTGAACAGGTGAGCAATTCAATATTTTGCTGCCTAATCTAATCAAATAGTTCGACTAATACTATATAATAAGTTTTGATAGCAGCGATGGGCTAGAGGAAGTGTAGTTTCATTTTTTTTAAATTCCAGATTCTTTGAATTTTCATTAATTGAATTAATTCTGGCGATATTCCGCTGCTTATCGAATGCGCTCTTTGACTTGAAATTTAATTATTAAACCAGCTGAGGGGCACATCATTTGATAATCCGCAAAGAACGTCAGTAAACTAACTAAAAGGCTGCGCCGATAAGCAAATAAATTTCATTCTTATCTAAGTTTAATAATCCCCAACTGTGTAGAGATAGATAGACAGATATTATATAGAAGTCCTTCGTGCAGATTTGAAACTCGACATTTAATTATAAAATATAACTGATAATTCTAGCCTAGACTAAAACGCAGTTTCTTTAAGAGGTCAAGTCGACTTGAGGAAAAGAGCTCGAAATTAGCTTAGGCTGAAGCTAAAGCTCAAGATTATCAAAGAGTGCGCCTTATATAATACTCAGCTAAGTATATATCAATATATTTCCAGAAAATTTGATAAGCTGTTTATAAGACGTATATATATATGAATGAATTCCTTGCACAAGTTTTTGGAATTTCAATCGTATATTTTCATATATATATTTTCCAATTTATAAATTACTGTGCCATATAGACCCACTGTCAAGTTTTATTTACAAGGTATGGTATATATATAATAATTAAATATTTAATACTATATAATTTATAATTGCACAGAGGTTTATGGAAGGTTATCTAAGCGAAATCGGCCTCTACCAATCCACATAGAAGTTGAATTGTCTGTCAAAGATTAATAAAATTGTCTTCTGATAAGCCCCAGCAAACACTCGAATTAATAATACCAGCAATCAGGTTGTGCCACTTGTGGTCTATTTGCCCAGTTGTCTAGTCAAACTAGTCTGGTGAAAGCGCAACAAGCATCTATCAAAATCGATTACCAACATGCCACATACCATGTTGCAAGAATATAATCTTGGGGGCCGGTCTAAATTGTTGCTATGGCGAAGCATCAAATGTCAGCAAGTTCATAAAAGAGAAAACGTGGAGTAACAGAAATCTAAAACAAGTTTTTTGTTTTTATTTTTCTTGTTTTTATGTGTAGACGAGGGGCATTTGACAAAGGGTCGTTTAAACACGCAACATGCCGAATAGCCGCAAGCGGAAGGGAGCTCAACCGCACATGGCGAAACGGACAGTTCGTACAGAACAGCAAAAAAATAAACAAAATTGTACAAATTGCGAGGTGCTCGACTAGCGAATACCCTGTATATACAAGTACAAAATCTCCGTTTCAATTGATTTAAAAGCCAACAGTCCCTATGACTTGACATTTAGTTAGGCAAAATAGGCATATATAAAGTAAAATATTCGTAAATAGTGTTTACTATGAATTATATGAATATATTAGAAAGCTTTAGAGCCTCGATAGAGACAATATCCTCAACTATCAATAGAAAATATCAGCCTATTTTATACATTTACACACAACTATGCTACCTCTTTTTCTTTGCTTTGCACAGGGTATGGCACATATATATATATATATAAAATTCTGCAAAATGTGCTTAAAAAGCAAAAACAACTTTATACTTAAAACTAACGTTGCGAAATAATTAAAAAACAAAAAAGAGAAAAGAAAATTGAGTAACTTTATGGCGGGTACCTTTGGCACGTAGCAGTAGAGCAGCTTGTGCTCCTTATCCACAATCATGTGATCCATTTGCTGGTCTGTAAGATCGTCCACTGTCTGATTGTCGGCATGCAGGAGATTACATTGTCGCTGCATATACTCCTGACGCTGTATGTTGATCGTCTGAGTGAGCTCCAGACTGTGTTTGGTGATCTTGACATTGTTGTTGTTGCCATCCCCGAACGGAGGCGCTGCCCAGAGCTGCGCGAATGTGTAGATCAGCAAGATGCCAAATAGGTGTACGGCATTATGTTCCATTATCTCTAATGGCTGTGATTTTAACAAGATTCAAGCTGTTTTTCATTGGTGGATTTTGTAAATTTGCACTCTTTGTTTTATATATGTATGTATGTATGTGTTTTTAGCTCTGCCGTTTGCGGCCGAAATACTTGACGCGGTGCACAAACTTCAGCTTGGCCCCGTTCTCAATGCCCAGTGCCGTTAGGGTCGCGCGTCCGTTGTCAACGTTGTCATCGATCGGCTGATTGGTATCCACGTTAAACAGTGCAAAGCAGCGCCATAGAAAACGCCAAGAGACAAACGCGCGGTGTTCATGCCCGTTGCGCAGCGCCGAATTAACTAACTCGCCGCTGGAGCGAGGCAAAACTTTAGCTCCAGCAGATCCCACAACCTGTTGTCGGTTCCCGTCTTCGGCACGGCCGGCGTCGTCTTCGTCTGCCACCCGACGTCGCTCGCGTTGTCTTCGTTTCAGCTGAGCGCACGAGATTGTGGCGATTGCCTTTTTCAGTTGGGCAACAGTGGGAGAACGCTGATGGAGCTGAAATGCATAAAGAATGAGAGAGAGAGAGAGAGAGAGAAAGATAGTGTCAGAAACAACAAATAGAACATATTAGCATTTTGGAGTATATGGTGTGTGGTTAAGAGTACATGAAATCTAAGAGTTTCATTTGTAAACAATTAGAAAACTAAATAGATTTTTATAGCAAAAGGATCTCAAAGCAAGTAATTTGAAAGAAGTCACTAAAATATAGATTATATATTATTATACTTCACATACTTAACTCAATATAATATTAAGAGATAATTAAAGCTCACGTAATATAATGCTGTGATACATGCATTTTTAACATTTAATTAAATTTTAAATTACAATAGCCATCCATTCTAGCGTATGCTATGATAATTATCTCTATAATATTTACATTTTCTTTGCTCGAGATAATTTATTGATGGCTGCCCTTTGCGCATTGCTGGTAAATATTATACTGTGTAAACAGACAGCGAAAATTTCACCAGTTTCTAGATAGAACTTTGAACGACTTAGAAATTAATCAAATTGATTGATACGCACCACACACACACACACACACACACACACTATTAACATATGTAAATAATCAATTGAATGGCAAGTGAGTGCAAACAGCTGCGAGGCTAACAGAAAGGTGGATTTCGTTTTGAACAAACAACTCACCATGATCTTGAGTGTGCTAAGGCCGTCGCGCTGCACGTAGATGGTTGTGGCACGGTTTTCTGCCTGAGCAATCTGAAATTATGAAATATATGCGTATTGCAGTTAACGGCAACACTTAACGGCACCAGCTGCCATAACATTTATGATTCTAGCCATCAATTAGCAGGTGCTACCGGGAGTAGGTCAACCCACTACGAAAGTGACGAAGTATGCTAATTGAGTTGCTATTCAGGCGCAAAACGGTGGCGCTAACAAGTACGCAAATAATATGACGTCAGGTGTGTAGGTTGCTCACGGAAAATGCTAACGTGCATCGTTTATGGGAGATTCACATACCAGACCCAAAAGTTCAGTCGGCGTTGCATCGTAGGGCACATCCGCCAATTCCTCGAACTCTGACAGAATCTGTTGCAACTCGTGTGAGCTTGCTGTAAGCATTGCATTATGCTCAGCTCGCTCAAAGTCGTTTTGTAATCGAGCTGAAGTGGACCCCGATTTCCTAAGCCTTCTTCGCCTTTTGGTGGGCTGTTGCATTCCCGCCAAGTTTCGTGCCTCTCTTATTGCTTTCTTCCGCAAATTAATTGGCATACGCTTTAGTCTCCTTGGATTTAACAACATTTTACTTCTTTCCCGATTTGAATCCATTTCATGAATCAAAAGAGTGTTTTTTGTTTCTGGATGCTCGATATCTTTTGTGTCCTAATTGAAATTATTTATATATTCTGTTGTAAATCGCTACAAATTTATTTATAAATGCGTTTAACCATTCACACGCTGCGTACACAAACAGCTGTATTGAGTTCAGTGTGACCAGGCAACAAAACACTTATAAACCCACTACGCAATTTGCTTAGCAGTACTCAATTTGGCGTTTTCCTGATCGCATTTCTGCGTTTTAAATTTGTGTTTTTGAATTTAAGATTTGTTTGGACGTTTTATTTGGAATCCATTTTTTTTAACAGAACAAACTATCCGTGTTTAACCTGTCAACTAGTGACCTATGTATAAGTGTTGTATTATATGAATTTCTTAATAGGGGTTATGGCTTTGTGTTCAGCAGGTCGGTTTCTTTTTATCAAAATTCAAAATTAATAAGTTAGTCAAGTGTGAATTTCAAATATCCAATATATACACTTCCTTACATATACTACGTCATGTCAAAAGGAAAAGGCCCCCTTTCAAAACTGTATAATGTCATCATCAATTCTGTTGATGTAATTGTACCGCAATCCATGCGACCGTTCTGGGAATCCCCGGCAGGTGCGTAATATGTTTAAATACAGTCTTAGCATTTCCTCAAAATATCTTTTGGTGACTAGGTCCGAAAACTGTTTTCTTCTGGGGCCCCCTTGGCAAATGGGTAAGTGACGATAAAACAAAGCTATGTTTAAGTATGGCAAGCGTATTGGCCTTTTTCAGGGCTTGGTACTTGCTGGCATTGGAGATCTTGTTAAACGGCCACCGCAAAATGTGTCGCTCAATCAGTCGGGAGTGCTGGCCACAACTGGATTAATTTGGTCCCGATATTCAGTTGTTATCATACCAAAAAATTACAGCTTGTTGGCAGTTAACTTGGTTGTATTCTTGACCCAAGGCTTTTTAATCGCCAAGCATTTGAAATGGAGGAGTGAAAATTCGAAACAAGTTGTTTATCAACATCCACATTCTATTCTTCGATTTCATGACAGCTCATAGCAAGGTTGTTTTAATTCTTTTATAATACTTGAGAACATTTCACACATTAATAAATAACAAATGCGCTATTCAATAAATTAAGGTCGATCTATCTGGACTGTTTGGGCATATGGCGGAAGACAATATTTATTTAATAGCTGTCAAAACTGTAGCTGTAGGTGAGTAAGCATACATCGTTGGTACTCCCCTAAACTTAGACTGGCGACGCATTTGTTATGCAGCTTCTTGTAGGAACTGGACTTGCTGATGTCCTCCAACGACCGGCACAAGACATCTCCCTCAATCAATCGGGCACTTTGGCAGCGAACGGTCTGATCTGGTCACGATATTCCCTCGGCATCATACCAAAAAACTACGGCCTGCACGCAGTCAATAAGGCTGTATTTATTACGCAGGCCTTCTTGATTATCAAGAACCTGAGCTGACGCTACTTAGCAACAGTAAGAACTGGTAGATCAATGTAATAGAGTATAGACAGTAAAATAGTACAAAAAAAAAAAATTGTTTTTCTTTTTTTTTTTTCGTGCCGCTCGGAAGCTTTACAAGTTTTTATTAATCTTTCTTTTCTTACGCATTTTGCAATCATCATATTTTAAATTCTTAAGTAATAAGTCTATATATCATCGTATAATATATATTCGTAGATAAGCTATTTCACGCCCACGCGAGTTGTTGTTGCATGGGCAAAGGCTTCGGGCAAATTTTCTTAGAATAGCTGAGAAATAAAAACTAAAATCAAATTATATATATACAAAATGTTATTTAGCGTGGGTCCTGGCATCGCTGTGCTAGTTGGCGCCGAATTCGGTTTGGCCAAGGGCGTTGCGCACAAGCTGCGCTCTGATTGGTCGTTCGGGCGCATTTCGTCCGGCCAATGCGTTGCCTGCAAAGAAGGCATCGTTCGTGCAATTGTCTTGCGGCCAACGTTTCGCTCGAGTCGGGCTAAAAACGAGCAGCGCAATGCAGTTGGCCAACTGCCTGAGCAAGTCTTGACACACACACACACACGCACGCACACACTGAGACTCACTCACTCACACAGGGACACACTCAAGCACAGCCGTAGGAGCATAGTTCTTGCTGTGCCAACAGGCGTATGCGTGATTTATTATCAACGTTTTCCTCATGCGCGTGTGAGCCCAGCAATCGCAGCACCTTCTCTTTCTCTCTCTCTCTCTCCCTCTCTCTCTCTCGCATCCACTATGCTTGTGTGCGTGTATGTGTGTGCAGTGGTGTTTCTGCATGTGTATGCATGTGTGTGTGTGTGTGTATGCCACTTGCTTTCAGCTTTGAACGTTTGCCAAGTGCATTACTCTGCCTGCCGCCGACTTGAGCTTTCAACCGCTGCGCTGCCATTGGCTGGTCAGACCGAGGACAAGCTGCAGCGGCCGTGGCTGCCAATTGGTCAACGAGGCTCCTTTAACGCAGCGCTGTAAAGAGAAAGAGAGAAAGAACGAGTTAGGTCGAATGTGAGTAGAGAGATCTATAGAAATGTTTTGATGCAAGGGCTTTCTTTAATGGAGGAAGTTAGATATAATATATGTGCTAATATAACTTTTTATACGAATCATATATTATTTAAAAAATAGTATTCCATATATATGTAAAAGTGGTTGAATGCTGAAAATTATAGTTTCCAAGCATAGTACAATATATGATATGATAAATAAATATTTTCTCATATATACCTAATCTTATTTATATATAAAATATAGCTTAATACAACTTTCATCAAACATAATGGAAAATTTATTCACTCTTACAAATCAACTATATATAGAAGACTAGAAGATTATTATTTATTAAGCTAGCCCTACAGATCGATTTTAGAATTTAGTAATTAAACCACACTTTCTATTATATTTCTAACTTTCTAACGGATTGAATCTTTTTTTCATCATTATAATGCGCCCAGCAAAGGTATTGCCGCATCGAATACGTCATGGCTTTTGGACTTCTCAGCCCTCGACTGGCTTGGCAAGGGGCGACAATTGTGGGCGCTGAGGGATGGGGATCGCTCAGGCCAATACGCAACGATGGGAATGGGCGCTTGCCAAGATGGTAGCTTGCCAAAATCTCGAAAGATTTTCTCACGCTCGCTTCCAAAGAATCTCAATGGCAATGAACTTTTTTCACTCACAAGTTCTGTTGTTGCGTAATTTTGCTGCGTACTGCTGAGGAATCTTGGCAGCCGTCCTGGGATTTCCCCAAGCACACACACACATGCATATCTATAGAGAATGCCTCTACACTGTAATTAAAGCGCCACCTGCCGCGTTGGCGCGTAAACAAATTTGGACTGCATAATTTATGATCATGGAGTTTTGCCAATAAGTTTCTGGATGAGCAGACAAACTGTCTGCCAGCAAATACTGGGCCGACGATCTTGGCTTCCCCACAAATACACACATACACACCCAGACACGCACACACACACGCACACTTAATGACTTCGCCTGGCTATAGTTAACTGAGGTCAGGGCTGCTGACGAGTGGGAACTCGGAACTGTGCTATTGAACAGCTGCCAATTGAGACCACAAGATATCAAAAGCAATTCCAGGCCTCCTCACCTCCTACTCGCTACCAACATCTTAATTATATCTGATTTATTGAGTCTGGGAAAAGGCAACACTTAGCCCTAATTGCCAATTGAACAGCTGCTCGGCTATGTAGTCCTGTGATTTACGATCGATTATTATTTAATATAGTCTAGTATAGATAACTAACATTTAACAGACTACGTCTTGCACATTACTCATTCGCTGAATGAGTATGCAAGCAAAGTGCTGGCTAAAAATAACAGCGTGTCAAATATGACAGACAACTTTGCTAGCTGGGCGGTCTCTCGGCCATTATGCAAGACAAGTCACAAAGGAAAAGTCTATGGCTGACATCAGGTGCGAACATTTGTGAGGTTTTGTGGCATATGAGCAGATTTCACAGTAGATTTGATTGATGAAAGCGCCTGATACTTTGTAAATTTAATGAGTCTTTACAGCTTATATAACTCATTGAGGCTCTACAGATTTCAGAAAATATATATGTATATTACTTCTTTTATTGTTTTCATTGAAATAGTTATATATGAGCTAGTAATACCTCCAAGCCCATAAATCTTTTTTAGATTAATGTTTAGTTAACCGCATTCATAGGCTCTTTGACAACTCTTATATTTGGAAGCCTAAATTCCATTGCTAGTGCTATAAAATATAACTGTTATATGAACTGATATATAAATTCATATATGTGCTGTTGTGTGAACTAGTGTATGAGCTTTTAAATGAACAGTTATATGAATTCTTCTACGGACCTTTTGATTTTGTTAATTTAATAATTAATAATAATAATAATAGAGAATATAATCATATAGAAATAATTCCTTACAACAAAAACAATTTTTATTTTTCTTAAAAATTCATTCAGTCATTTAAATGGAAAGCCATTTGATTTGAATTTATCTAACATTTGATAATTATTAATAAAGCCCAGGCAATTTTATTTAATAAAAATGCCGCACGTTTCGCATATTTGTCTTGTATATGTATGTGGTATCTGTATTTATATTTGTATATGTATATGTATGTTTTGTAGATAAAACGCTTGGATTCTGTGGTCTATATAGCATGTCTCACGGACGACGCAAAAAGTGCCCAATTCTTTGACGTTTTAAACAAATTTGGATTTTTGTATATTTTTTCAACTATTTTTCGTCGCTGCAAATTTGCTTTTATTTATTTTGCTCGGCAGCTGAAAGCGGATTTTTTGTTTTCCCAATTTTCTTGGGCGATTTTCTTTGCTCTTTGTTTTACTTTTATGTGTTTTAGTTGATTTTCGATTTTCTTATTTGTATGTAGATTTCTCATTTATCTAGCTATTTTCGGACACACTTGACGGGTTCCGAAGATCGACAAGCGAAAGGCACAAACAAAATGAGAAAACCAAATTCGAGCCGAAAAAAAAAAATTGCGCAGAACTGTCGCCAGAAGGCCCTTATATACCACATAAGTGGTAAATGCCCGCATATATACCCAATATATCTTTTCTATATAAATAGTATTTGGACCGCTCCTGATGCTATATACCGGCCGACCGATCTTCTATCCGCCAGGCAAGGCAAGGCAAGGCAAGCGAGCCGCGGCGCGCCGAGGCGATGACGCGCAATTGACGCTGGCAAAGACGCGTTGAAAACGCGCGACTATCGTCGCCGTCGCTTCTATTTTTGTATATCACATAGAGAAACGGACACAGATACAGATACAGATACGAAACTATATACATATATATGCATGAATACACATAGAGATGTAGAGACAAAGATTATACAGTTAGAGCAAACGTGCAGTTGTCTGTTTATATATTTTCGCCTAATCTATTTCAGTGCTTCATCATTTTGTTAGTTTGGTATATTTGTATTTTGTTTTTTCCTCAGATCCTATGTACACTGTCTATAGGGCGACGGCAGCACAAATTGTAATTAGTGCTAGTTTTTCTTAGTTTTAATTAGATTTTTTCTCATTTTGCACGTACACCTTGAAGATGCCAATGCGATGCAGTAAGACAGAAACTGTCACTTGAAAATACGAGAGTTGTTCATTAAATAGATACCAAGAAAAAACAACAACATGTATATATATACGGGTATATATACATACGTTTAGCTAAGCAACTTAATTAAGTGTAATTAATTGCTTTAGTTTTATTGTTGAATTAGTTAAAGGACAAGTATGTACACTAGAATACTTGTCTATATTTGTCTATAAATTGTTGCAAGAGTCGATTTGCCATTGTCGAATGACCAAATTCTTATGTAAAAGGCAATTGTATCAACAATTTTTATAGTTGTCTATATGAGAATTTAATAAAAAATTAAATTTTTATTATTTATTCATTTTATATTTATTTATTTACTTTTTATTTTATTTTATGTTATTTTTTATTTATTTATTTATTTTTATTTTTTTTTTTTTTTTTTTTTTTTT